AAGAAGCCATTCCAGTAAAAAAGAACAGGTAATATGAAGATAGGAACATTCTTGGTCTGTCTGAAGAAGAGATGAGAACAGATGGAATGGAATGATGGAGAAAGTAGTAGGACCCAAAGAGGCGAGGAGGAACCAAATCACATACTAACTCGAGGGCAAGTCTGGTTTTTATTTTAAGGACAACCATTTGTAATTTATTTATTTCCAACCTGATTTCTTTTCTAGGCAAATGCTTTGTCACTAAGCTACATCCACAGCCCATTGTTTTCTAAACTGCAAGTTCTGTAAGGACAAGCCTCAAAGAGCAAAGTAGTAGTAGGTGGAGTGTCATAGAGTCACACCTGTTTTCCCTTCTTCATTTTTTTTTGGGGGGGGGGGAGTTGGGACAGGGTCCTGCTACGTAGTTTAGGCTGGTCTTGAACTCACTATGTGACCTAGGCTAGGCTTGAAATCACAGTGATCCTCCTGCCTCAGCTTCCCAATTGCTGGGTCATGCTCTACCATGCCCAGCACTTTTAAAAAAAAATTATCACCAGCATCTATCACAATAGTTGGCATACAGTATGTGCCAAATATTTACTAGAATTAATGACTATAAAGAGATCACATTAATTTTTCATATATAAATATAAAATCTCAGAAGTAATTCTGATTATATTAAAGAAATACTAATATGAGACAGAAATTAGGGTTTTCTCTACAAGAAAATATACATTTAATATATATGAATATGTATAAATACATAAATCTATGTATTTACACATGTTTAATATATATTTATATATTAGTGTTCTAAATACAGTAATACAGAAGAATAAAGTAATCTTGAAACCCTAAGGACACATTTTAAATCAAATTTCCCCACCCCCTTTCCTGTAGTACTTCCTTTATATGACATGCCAGTTCCCCAACTGGTATTGCAAAAATAGGGTGTGGAAAAGGTGGTGTTACCTGCCAATGGAGTAACTCTGCAATTCTGTTTAACTTCAGCCATTTAAATCCATTTTCTAATATTTTGGTAAACTGGCTGAAGAATCCTTTCCTTTTAGGCTATGTTTTCCTAAATTTCAACAGTTCTCCTCAATTCATTTTGAATGATGAATTTACAGCAATAAAAGAAAAAGTTTCTGTGTGTTAAAAGGTAATATTTTAGTAGTCTAAAAGGTCTACAAAATTTAGAATAAAGAAAACTACTCCTTGAGGAGTTTTCAGCAAAAGAAAAAGGTCAAATTAACAAAGCAGAGACTAATATGAAAAATAAATACTAGAAGACTGTTCAGTTCAGCCAGCAAAGGTGGAAGGAAAAATAGGATCTAAGTAAGATAACAGAGTTAACAGATGGGAGGTAGATGAGGTTTTTCAAGAATGGGATGACTTTTGTCAGTATGCCAAAGGATGTGGGAAAAATGAAAAACTTTGTAGAATAAAGTGTATTTGATTGGAGAAGTGCTAGCAAAAAAGTTACAGGATTTTTATGGCTAAAAGAGACCTTAAAAGATTCTTTCTAAAATCCTCCAATTCCAAGATGGAAAAAAGGACACTCAGAAAAGCTAAATAAGTTTTACACAGCTAATGAGTAGCAATCTGGCAATCTGGCAAAGAATTCAGGTCTTCTAATTCTTTTTTAGCAAGCATGCTGGGGACATTGTACCAGGTGCCCTTAAAGAATTAAAAAAGAAATATAGGGGGCCAGGGATTTAGGTCAGTGGTTCCACTGCCTGCCTCACAAGCGCAAGGACCCAAGTTCGATCCCCAGTACCAAAAAAAAAAAAGAAAAGAAAAAAGAGACATAGCTAAGTTTCCCTACCTTCATTTACCTTAGAATATTGCTGAGGTGGTATGATACAAAAAGAAGAAAAAAAGTAAAGGATATAAATATTTTTAAGTAGCAAATTATGCACTACAGAAATGCATTAGACATCTAGGACCTGGATTTCAACACCTAAAAGGAAGACTATGAACAAAACAAAAAAGGAACCACTCTGGGCAGTGTGCCTGTAGTCCCTACTATTCAGGAGGCTGAAGCAGGAGAACTGCTTCAGCCCAGAAGTTTGAGGTCAGTCTGTGATCAAAACAGCCAAGACTCTGTTTCCTTAAAAAAAAAAAAAAAAAAGCAAATCTTGATTGTTAAAGCAGTAGTTGAAGGAAAATGCACTTGATAACTTGTGTTTAGCATGAAATGTAAAGGAAGAAACTAGGGAGGAATTAATATTTTCAAAAAGAAAAAAATACATTGCTTTTACACAGTCATGAAAATAAAAGGGCAGATGGCAGATCAAGCAGCTCATGTTTACAAAATTACTTCAAATTACAAAAGGCCCAATTACAATACATAACTAACAGGCTGCACAAGTTCCAAGGGTAAGAAGTTCACCAGGCAGGTTTGGCTCACTGATCTCTACCAACAAACCACTGATGGAGCTATGCTTATAAAAACAAAAACACAGAATGAAAGAATTCTATTTTCCAGAGAACAGTGAACTATGACATATCTTTGTTTTTCTTTTAGGAGGCAGTTCTGGTTTGGTTTCAAACCTTGTTACCTATCAACTTGCTCTAAAATCCATAAAACTATGTCCAGAGATGGATAAACTATTCACGAAGGTATCACCAGCAGAAGTCCTACTTGTCAACCAGAGCCTGTATATTTACAAGCTCTCATTCACCATTTTACTCTTAAGATGTTTTCCTGGCTTGGCTGCCTCCAGTTTCAACCACAAGTACTTTACCAAAATAGCCTTCAAGTCAAGAACAGTATCTTAAAGTCAGTGACATCCTTCATTATACCAGTATTATAACACAGAACCCTGAGATATACAAAGATCCAAAATCACTACCTGAATAACAATGACCAGGTAAAATGACTTGTTAGTAGACTTAAAAATCTGTTCCGGAAAGCTTTCAGCTTCAATACAACAAAAGCTAGTAATGGTTTGCATTCTCTATAATCTTACAAAAAAAAATCTTGCAAGCCAGGAATCAAAAATAGCTTTACACAAACAAGAGCAAAATTGTAGGTTTTGCTGAGGCCATCAGCCACTTAATTTAACCCCACTTCATCTGGAGCAGGAAGCCACACTGCTGTTTTCATCACAGTTACTAAGAAACAAAATAAAGGCCAGACTAGGGGAGAGAAATCTATAGCAGAAATTAATATTTTGATGCAATTTTGAGAATTCTCACTGTTACTAATGGACAAGAAAGAGCACTGTAGGGCAAGCAGGGCGTGTTAGCACACACCACACCTGTAATCCCAGATACTTGGGAGGGTGAGACGGGAGGATCACAAGTTCGACCCCACCCTGGGCAAATTATCAAGACATCGTCTGAAAAAGGGCCGAGGATGTAGCTCAGCGTTCCCGGGTTCAATCCCCAGCACCGCAAGAAAAGAAAGACTGCATCTAGGGCTACCTTAAAATAAGTCTATCTAGAACCGAACTGTGGTCAAGCGGAGAAAAGACTTACTGGAGCTTGGGTTGTTTTTTCCTCCTTTCCTTCCCAGCCCCTCGCCCCAAACAGGAAAGAAAGTGCGCCCAGCATAAACACTGGCTATTGCTCAAGGTTCGTCACCACAACAAACTGGAGGTTAGACCAGCGCTCCTGGAGACCAAGCCTAACGTCTCGGTTGCTAGGCACAAAAAAGGATTCTTCTCTGCCGACTCGTGCACGGTGTGGGTCTCACACAAGTTTTGATTTTCTTTGTTGTTGTTGCTTTTAACAAAGCTTTCCAAGGGGCGACGGGCAGCAAAAGTTTGTGTTTGAGCCAGACCTCTAGATCTGGCTTGCAGAGATACACTTTAGGTGGACTGGTCCCACGGTTCTCCACCATCATTACAAATTACAAAGCTAACGACTACACAACGTCAGCGGAGAGGACAGCAGCGCTTCCACACCCATCCCACCACCGTCCTCTTCTCCAGGCTCCGCTTCCTAGTGCCAAACAACACAAGTAATCCCGCTGGTATCACGCCGGTCGGCACAGGTGTGAGCTGACAAACACAAGCCTCACCTCGGGAACTGCCACAGGAGCCCTGGGGAAAACCGGCCGGGTGAGGAGACGCAAGGCGGCCCCTGTCACTTGAGGACAACAACACGCCCGGGAGAGAAGTGGCAGGGGGAGTTGCCCCTCAAACAAGCAGTCCGCTTTCCCCGGAACGCAATGCCCCTCCGCGGCCGCACACTTGGCCCGGGTGCGGGGCACGGGCGGGTGGAAGGAGGCGCCCCCCGCAGGCAGAGCGCCCCCTCGCAGCCCACCGGCCCGGCCCCGCCTCACAGAGCTCCCCGCTGCGGCCCCCCGACCCTCCGGCCCTCCGGTCCCCCGTCCCAACTCACCGCCGGTGTGTCTGGTTCTCAGCCGCGAGCTGGGGCTGCCGCGAGGAGGCGGCGGAGGAGACGAGATCCGGGGCCCCGCCGCCGGGTCATCATACCCCCCGCGCGAGCCGGCCCGGGCCCCGGCCCCCGCCCTCCGGCGCCGTCCCCGCGCCCTTCCTGCGGGGGGAGCCTCGCCAGCCTCCCGCCCGCTCCGCCACCTGGGCCCTCCCCGCCGCCGCCGCCGCCGCCGGCCGCCGTCTCAGCCCCGCACGCTCGCTCCTCGGCCTCCCGCTGCCGTCCGGGGCCACAGCCGGGCCCCTCACTCCGCAGCCGCCGTTGCCGCCAGACCCGACGAGCGGAGCCCCGAGCGACCGCCTCCATCCGGCCAGCCCCGCCTTCCCGGAACCATTCGCCCGCCTCGCGCCATGACACCTAGGCGGAAGTGCAGAGAGGCGGGCGCGTTAGGGCCACTGCATCGTACCGAAGGCCGTGGGAGTGTGGGCGCCTCAGTGGGGAGCCAGTGTGGACCGAGTGCGGAGGCCGAGTCCCCCGGCACTCCGCAGCACGGCAGTCCCCGCGGTGATTGACTGGTGCCTGGTGGCTGTAGAGGGTCCAACTGTAAAATGTAATCCCATCCTGTGTGACATCACCACAGTCTGGTGTGACGCCCCCAGAGATTGGGCAACGCTCGGGGAGGCTGTGCGTACCCGGGAACCCCCCAGCGGGGTGAGGAACTACCTGAGTTTAGGCTTTACTATTCCTTTTCTAGGCGAAGATGGTCTAGCAGAGTGGCATCAGCCTACAGGATCTGCACATCTGATGTCCCTTAGGGAGCTCTCCCATTGCCGCCTTGGGAATCTGTATTCACATTAGGTGAGCAAGAATAGCTGTGTTTTGAACCTGTCCCCTCAAAACATGCAGTGAGCGAATGTCAACATAATTTTCTGGCCTCCACCAGAGGGTCATAAGGCTGGATATTCAGGAAACAACGCACTCGACTCCGTTCTGAGAAAATGAACGCTGGGTTATCCTAATAGAATTGCTGCCATCTTCCAACGTCAGGAGATTCCATAGGACTTCAGATATACCTCCTGATGTGTAAAACGTTCTTCTGATTCCTAAGGTGGAGAACATTTTAGGGAGACTAAAATCTATTAATCTGTTCCATCCCACAAGTGCCATAGGCATCAATGAGTGAACCCTGGAAAGTGACTGTCTGGCACCACAAATGTTTACAGCTACTCAGAGGAGGGGGACAGATGTGGCTAAGACAGGATTCTGCCAACCAGCTCTGCTTCTCAGACCTCACTCGTTATATGTTACACATCCTTGATTTCCTTGGATCCCCATCTCAGAAATACAGACAGAATTTTTGTAAAATACGCTGCAGTAAATTTTAAGAGAAGTCATTTGGGTTTCTCTCTGGCTTAACAACACTGGGAGCAGTTCCATGTTATTGGGAACAGGGAAGTTTAGCTCCCTAGAGGACCAGGGTTAGCAAAAGTGTTCAATCCCACGGGGCTGTTTTGTTTGCTTATTTTCATAGAAACTTCCTTCTTGCTGTTTACAGAACATAAAGTCCCTACATTGGGCTGACCCTAAAAACATCAAGACATGAAGAATGAGTGAGGATGCCTGCTTGATGAGCCAGGAAAAAGGCAGAATCCGGAGGTCTGGAATTGAACAGGTCCTGCTCAAAGAGCAAGCTTCAAACACTTAATTGCTTAGCATGCCTTGGTTCAGCCCAACTCTATGACATGCTTATGATCTCTGACTCACCCAAATTATGTCCCTTTCCTCTTTTCAAGCATATCTCAAAATTTACCTAGATAATTCGCTTATTTATATCTTATTTATTTATACATGTTGATCTCTATTTTTATTGTTCTTAGGTTGTTTCCTCAATCAGTCTCATTATGCAGGGAGTTTAAAGTCTGGTATATTCTCCATTGTAATGTCATTCATTCATTCATCCAGGATATTGCCTGTGTGCCTGCTCGGTGTGAAACACTCTCTTAGACACTGGGTCAGATGAAAGATGAATAAGGTGTGGTCTTTTCCCTTGGTGAGTTTAGTAAGGAAAAATGCATGCAGACATGACTTGAATGAGGGAGTCAGGAAAGATCATCGGAGAAGGTAATATTTCAGTTTGGTATGGTCACAGAAGTTTTACAGTTTAATGTAGCTGGAGATCATTTGTCAGTTCAACAAATATCTATAGAGTATCTTCTGTGTGCCATTGTGTTAGAAATTAAAGATGCAAAGAAGAAAAAATGTATCTGTGCCCTGAAGGAGCTTACAGTTCAGCAAAGAAAGGGGAGGATGTGGAATTAGTAAAGTAGTTGGAGTCAAATTTTGAAAAACAATGAAGGGCTTGAAGAGATCTGGTAATGCCAGAGAACTGGTTGTGGTGAGGAAGATGGCTGGAGTGGATAAAGGCTGGAGAAAGGGAATCTAATTAGAAGAGCAGGATGAGGGTTTGATCAAGCAGGGGCCATGGAGAAAAGGGACAGATAAGTGAGCTAATTCCTCATAAAGTCAGGGCAGCTGGAAAAGGAGATGGGGCCGTTAGTAGTGAAAGCATTCAAGTCTCATGCAGGGTATGATATCCCTCCAGGGCCTAGAGCCTGGATTCAGTGTTGGAGCAAGAAATCACTTTCTTAGGAGCTTCCGTGCTTAAAGCCAAATGGGAGAACCTGACCAGAGGGAGTGTCTTATGAAAAGCTAAATAAAAAAAGCTAGGCAAACTATCCAAACAAGCAGTGAATCCAAGGAGCTAGGAAGAAAAAGAATTCAGTCAGGAGCCAACAGATAGCAAAACTGGCAAAACCAGATGAAAGTGAAGGTCTGCACTAAAGAATAGGAAGCAGAACCTGGAGAAATCCCTTGAAGCAACAGAAAGGAAGCCCCAGTGATTTCTGAAACCTAGATACCAAAAAACTTTTTTGTTTGTATGTTTGGGTTTTTTTGTTTTTGTTTTCTGTACTGGGCATTAAACTCAGGACCTTGCCCTTTAGAGCCAGGTGCAGAGCCACTGAACTAAATCCCCAGCCCTGTTTGGGTTTTTTTCCAGATTTTTCTTTGCTTTTTAGAAAACTTCTAATTTGGAAATAATTTCAAACATATAGAAAAGTTTTAAGAATAATAGAGATTACCGATATACCCTTTTACTTAGATTCAGCAACATTTTGTCCCTTTTTATCATTTATCATTTTTCTTTATCATTTCTCACATGGGCTACCTAGATCTTTTTCCATCATACATATTTCTCCATTTGGTAGTAAGTTGCATGCATCATGCCCATTTACCACTTAATACTTGACTAGCCTCGGAAGTATACTCTCTTATGTAATGTAATACATAACAATTATCAACTCTAGGAAACTTAACAGTGATATACTATTTTCATCTACTATCAGTATTGCAATTTTTGTCAGTTGACCTGGTAACATCCTTCTTAGTCTTTTTTGTCTTCCAGAACAAAATCCAATTTAGGCTCATATTTTGTATTTAATTGTCCTTTCTCTGTAGTCTTTGAGGAATAAATATTTCTTTGTCTTTTATATATATATTTTAAACTAGGGATTGATCCCAGGGCCTTTGCACTGAGCTACACTTACAGCTCTGTTAAAATTTTTTATTTTGAAACAGTGTTTCACTGAATTGCCCAACCAGGCTCGAGCTTGTGATCATCCTGCCTCAGCCTCCCAGAGTCCTGAAATTACAGGTGTGTGCCCCTTTGCCTTCTTTGGCTATGATATTTTTTAACAGGATTCTTCACCCCATTCCATAAAATAATGGTCCTCATTTTAGGTTTGTTGTTTATGTTTGTCTGATGTTTATTCACGATTAGATTCAAGTTACCTTTTCCTGATCAAGATAGTACATAAATGATACTTGTGTCCTTCTCAGGATATTGTACCTAAAAGCTCACGATGACTCTTTGCCTCTCATTGATAATGTTAGTTTTGATCACTTGGCCAAGGTCTCTGATTTCTCCACAGTATATTTACTAATTTTTCTTTGTAATTAATAAGCAATATGTGGAAAAACACCTTAGACCATGCAAATATCCTGTTCCTCATTATATAATCTTCCCCTAGATTTACCATTTTTCTCCCCAGTACTGGGGATTGAATCCATGACCTTCCCACTAAACTATTAAACTACATCCCCTGTCCATTTTTTTTCTTTTTTGGATGAATTCTCACTAGGTCTCTAAATTGCCCAAGCTGGGCTCCTCCTTCAGCCTCCCACAGTGTTAGGATTACATTCTTATCAACACAGGCCCCCATATCTCTTATTTAGTTAGGAAGTCACTTAGTTGTCTGTTGATTAATGATGTAGATGCATGGATTACTATTTTTTCAATGGTTTATAATTCATTTCTGTTCTTATTTTAGTGCTAGAATTTTCCAGATTTAGTCAGTGGATACTCCTTAAGTTGGCTTCTGCATTTTTGTTATCATGTCTCCCTAAAATATTCCAGGGTTATCTTGGACTTCCCTTGTCCAAGCTTCAGTCTCAGTCATTTCTCTAAGAAGTCTTGGTTCCTTTTATGGAAAATTGGAAAAAGGAGATCTGGCACTAGTTCCAGAATGGCATTTTAGTGGATGGTTATGGCTTTAGAAATGAATGCGAACCCTCAGTGGACAGTTTCCCTATTTACCCCTTCCCCCAGAGTTTCAAGATTGAGCTGTTCCCAAGATGTTTTCCCCCAGTACTCCTTTACAGTATTCTTAGCAGAGAAAGCTTACAGAGAAGAATGTGGCAGACATTGTTCATTGGCCATCAGTAAACAGTTAATGGCTGCTGTATCTCAGAGGCTTAACAATAATTTGGTTTTATTGCTTGTTCACATCATCTTGTGGGTGGCTAGAGGTGAGAGTGCTGTTTTTCTCCCTGAAGTCATTCATGGGCCCAAACTCTGTGACTTTATTACTCCTTGGATCTTTTGAATCTAGCCAGAAAAAAAGAAAAGGGATAGAGAAAATGTGGATTACGTATAGGGAGCTTTTATAGGTCAGGGCTATAAAGGCAGCAAATACACAAATCTGTAATACACACATAAATGTCTAAAATATGAGTACTGAAATTTAAAAAAAGCTAGTCTCTGTCTTACCCCAAAGCTATGCCCTATAATACTTATTTTCTGTTAATAGAATCCCAGTATTGTTCAAGTATAAGGAAGATCCTTTGATTTCAAGGAAGGCAGGTTCCTCCCTTGGAATAAATCACAGTTGGTCTGGACCAATCCTGGTAATTCCATTTCGCATTTCCATTGATGTGTCTAGGGATGGGTATGGGACTCAGTTCTGGCCAATGAAATATGAAAGAAGTTGGCTAGGAGGCTCCTGGGGAAAATTCTTTTTGTCTAAAAAAGGACTTTGAGAGAAAAAGTCTTTTGCTCTTACTTCTGCCTTTTTCCTGAGACACAGTCATGAAAACATGAAGCCTGGAGCTACCATGGCCTTCTTGTGACCACAAGTACAACAAACAGCAATGAAGGCAAACAGCATTCTGAGGACAACAGCTGAGAAGGAAGCAAAGAGTGAGTCCTTAATGATGTAGTTAAACTTTCAAAGAACCTGGAACAGCCCACTTCTGGACTCCCTCTTAGGTAAATAAATGTTATGCTTTAAGATACATTTTTTGTTTTTGTTTGTTTGTTTGTTTTTTGAGACAGGGTCTCCCTATGTAGCTCAGGCTGGCCTTGAACTATGTAGTCTAGGCTGACCTCACACTTATGGTGATCCTCCTGCCTCAGCCTCCCAAGTGCTGGGAACACAGGTTTGCAGCGGCCACCACGCCCGGCTTAAGATATGTTTTCTATTCTTAACTGATACTAGGAGAGATTTTTAAAAGAAGGAGCTAATCTGTGGGGCACAAAGGAGCTGAGAGACAAAAAAGGATAAAGTGCTAGAGATAAAGGAGGATAAGGACTGAGGTGACCAGTAGATCTGGCAATTAAGTGATCACTGCTAATCTTGGTGAAAGCAATTCCAATAGCATAGAGGGGGCAGAAGTACTGTGGTTCCTACATAAGATTATTTACAGTACAAGTGGTGACTGACAAGCTGGAAAGGATGATTTGATCCAATTGACCCATTTTGACTACTTTCTGTCCCTTCTCACAGGAAAAATCCACGAAAAGTTCTGGCCCTTTAACTGTTTTCATGAAGAAGCAAATGAGTGGTGGGGGCTATAACAGGACACGCTGGGGATGAGATCCCAGCAGAAATGATGGGTTGATGAATAGGAGCCTGGATGAAGGGTGTGCTTATGAGATTAAAGTGGAAGGTTCAAATAGAAGCAATTGAAAATAAGAGAAGGTGAAACTAGACAGAGGGGGTGGTTGCACAGTATTGCTAATGCACTAAGTGCCACTGTGTCCCTAATTTTTCTAATTATTAAGGATCAACCCAGAGACTAGTCTGAGGAAGAGCAAATACTGCTCCTCAGACCCTCCTTTCCCCATAATTATTTCTAGTGACTCCCTTTTCTGCACACCTTTGTCATATACTATCCCTTTGTTCAGTGAAACTAAGGGATAAGGCTTTTCTCTCCCTTTCCTTAGGCCATTATCACTCCTCAGTATCGGGTCTCCTGCATTGCATAGCTTCTGACCTTTTCTTTGACAAACTGTTACACAAGCTTTTAGCACCTGCATTCCATATGTCTTTCTCTATCAACAATGCTAAGCAACATACCAAACCAAAATAATGCTCTGGGAAGGCAGTAGAGACCCACAAAGCAGAGGGCGACCTTAAATTTAACAATTGAATCTTATATGTGCTAAGTCATTTTATACGTCCTACAGACTCAGACAGCAAAATGGACCTCATAAAGTATCCTTTGCATAGCATAATTCCTGATGTGTGCTTGGTACTAATAACTTTTATGGGGAGAATTGAGAACAGGGTCTCACTAAGTAGTTAGGCTGGACTTGAACTTGCAGTGATCCTCCTATCTCAGCCACTGAGTGCTGGGATTACAGGTGTGTACCACCACGCCTGGCCAGTACTGATAATTTTTTGCTGAGTAAATTACCAAGTGCTTGTTTACAATCCTAAAACCATCAAAATTCAGTTAAGTATGAAATTGAGGTTATGAGCCTGGGATTTAGCTCAGTGGTGCCACGCCTGCCTGGCAAGTGCAAGGGTCCTGAGTTCGATTCCCAGTAACAAAAAAAAAAAAGGAATTGAGTTTAAGAAACTTCAAAAAATAATCTTCATCACTGGCTATGAATTTAACTTAATTTTTTATTATTACTTCTGGAAACTCACTTGGATATAAGCTGTAAGCAGTCAATAAGTGGTTCTATATTAGGGGTGGGCTAGAGGAAGGTGCTCTGTCAAACCTTAGATAGCAGATTGTCTGATGTGAAAGAGACGTTACCTGACCAACCTCACTGCTCCTAGAATGTCCAGTACAGAAAACTGTTGTGACTTAGCCATACTTAGTCTCAAAACAGAAATTAAAGACTGGGATGTAGCTCAATGCAAAGGCTGCTGGTTCAATTCCCAGTACCAAAAAAAAAAAAAAAAATCCTGAAGTCTGATATCCATAAGATCCCAACTCTGCTGGTTACTAGGGTGTGAGAGTGAACATGTTAATAAGCCCCACTTTTGTCATCCTCAACATGGAAGCGGTAATATTTTTTCCTTATCTCCCTCCTTCCATCCATCAGAAAATTCCTTCAGTGTTATTTCCAAAACACTGTCTTGAATCCACTATTATCACTATTATCTGAATCCATCGGTGGAATCAGAAAATGTGAGCAGTGAAATATAAAATAATAAATGTAGATACTTGAAAGTTGCTAAGAAAGCTGGGCATGGTGGTGCACACCTGTAATCCCAGCACTTGGGAGGCTAAGGCTGAGGCAGTTAGATCACCACAGGTTTGAGGCCAGTCTGGGCTTTATAGTGAGTTTACAGCCAGCCTGAACTATATAATGAGACTCTGTCCCAAAAAACCAAAAACAGGACCAAGGATTTAGCTCAGTGGCACTGCACCTGCCTCACAAGGACAAGGTCCCAAGTTCCATCCCGGGTACCACAAAAAAAAAAAAAAAATTGCTGAGAGAGTAGATCTTTATTCTTAGCCCACACAAATACAAAGATAACTAAGTCAGATAATTGATATGCTAATAAGCTGTACTTTGATAATTATTCACAATATATATGTCAAAAGTTACACTATACATGTAAACTACTTTCATTTGTCAATTGAATTTCAATAAATAAGGATGTTGCAGTACTACCTTATTTAAAGTGAGTGTAGGTTTTTAAATATGCATAAATTAGGAGCCTTATAAAGAACCCAATCTTGCAAACCTAAAATTAACTTTTTCATATAGGTGCTCTTCTGTAAGGATATAGAATATTAGCAAATTTAACAAAAAGGCCCAATTCAGACTGGATTTGACTAGTCTTGTTATCCTGGGCTCTAGCAGTCCTCCGCCTCAGCCTCCTGAGTAGCTGACATTTCAGGCCTGTGCCACTCTGTTATGTCTTATGGATTTCTCCCCAAAGAAACAGATAGTAAAAATGATATTCTTTTTAAATATTTATGGTTAAAATTTTTCATGATAATTTTAAATAGTTTAAAAATAAAAATTAAGTATTCTCCTGATATATGAAACTCTTTTACTAAAGAATCCTAGCCTCTCAGGAAATGTAACCTCTAACCCCAAGGCTCATGTTGACTACAAAGCCAGTAAAACATGCTGTTTCCTTTTAAAAACATAGTTATAAAACATGTCTATTATAAGAAATAGAGTTAATTCATAAAATACTCACTTATATTACAAATTAGCTTGTTTTCTTTTCATTCCTCCCATATATGTATATTTATATATTACTTGTTGAAAAAAATACATATATATACCTATATCTGCACACTTTTCCTTTGTGAAAGTTTTGGTGCAGCTGCTCCTACTAAGGAGGTGACTGTAAAAGATTTATCTCATTGTCAAGCCCCTTTCTTCCAAAAGCCCAGTTTAGCTCACTACTGCTTCTCATTGCTGCAAGAGCTTCCTGATTGGTATCTTGCTTTCATTTTTGCCCCATTCTCCATCTGTTGCCTTTAAAAATATACATCAGATCGTATCACTCTCCTACTTTAAAGCACTCCAGTAGCTTCTCGTGACACTTGGAATAAAATCCAGACTTCTTTCTTTAGCCTATAAGTTACTTTGAATCCAACTCCTGCCTCCCCTCCAAGCTCATCTCCTCTTCCTCTCCACCTCTGACACACACTCTTCTTGAGGTTTCTTAGGCATAAAGCTCGCTTGCATCTCATGGTCTTTGTGCTGGTGCTACTGGAGCCCACTGCTCCTAGGTCTTTACCTGGCTGTCTGCTTTTCATCACTGGGATCTCATCTTAATTGTCCATCTCACAGAGACATTTTCTTCACCACCATGTCTAGACTGCCCACTCCCCATTAGCCAGTTGCATTTTCTTCTTAGCCCTATCACTATCTGATATGTTTATGTACACTGGCTTGCATGCTCTCTCTCTCTCTCTCTCTCTCTCTCTCTCTCTCTCTCTCTCTCTCTCTCTCTCTCTCTCTCTCTCTCCCCCTCTCTCCCTCCTCTTTCTCTCTCTCTCCTTTAGGATGTAATTTCCATGTAGACAGGAAATTTTCCATTTTTTTTTTCCAGAACTGAAGAGTGAACCCAGGGTCTCACACAGGCTAGGCAAGTGCTCTACCACTAAGGGACTTCCCCAGCTGACATTTTCTGTCTTGTTCATTATACCCTGCAGTCCCTAGACCAGTGTCTGACACATGGTATTCAATAAATTATTTGTGGAATGAACAAATGAATGAATTTATGGACTCTAGTTTCCTCACAAGATAGTTGCGAGATACAGAGATAATATTTATAAAGTTCCTGTCAAATTAAGCACTCAGAAGTTGTTAGCTCCTCAAGGGCTAAGAACTTTGCTTTATTCTCTGTTTAAGAGGAAAAGCATTTATTAGGGGGGCATTGCCTAAAGCATGTTCAATCATCTATTCTAGATTTATTCACTTATTCATTCAATAAACATTTATTAAGAACCTGTATGTGTTGTAGACACTAAGGATGCACAGTGAACAAAACCAAAGGAAAAAGTATTGGAGTTTAGCGGTACACAGAAAACCAAATAAGTAAATGATGTGTTGTATTAGAAATGATGTGGTGGTAAGTGTCCTGTGGAAAAAAATGCCAAAAGAGGGGATGGTGGCAAGCCGATGGTTGCTATTTTAATTAAGGTAACCAAGAAAAAAAACCTAGAGATGAGGAAGCCATGGGGGTATCTGTAGAGAGAACAAATGAGATGAATGCTCACCTGGCACACTGGAGTAACTGCAAAGAGGTCAGTGTGGCAGGAGCAGAGTAGGTGAAGGGTGAGGAGAGGAGACAGGATAGCAAATCATAGCCATTCAGACCACTGTAGGAACTTTGGTTTTGGTTTTTGTTTTTTTGGGGGGAGGGGGTTGGAGCTTTTTTGGTATCGGGGATCGAACTCAGGACCTTGCGCTTGCAAGGCAGGCGGTGGAACCACTCAGCTAAATCCCTGGCCCAGAACTTTGGTTTTTTACTCTGAGCTGGAAAGCCCTTTGAGGATTTGAGCAGAGAAGATGCACAGTCTGATTTATATCATGCTCATTGTAAGGACTGCATTGTGTATTTGAGGAGCAGAGAGAGGAAGGTTGGAAGCAGGGAGAGCACACAGGAGGCTACTGCAATAGCTTGGGAAAGAGACAAAGATTGGACAAGGGTTGTAGAGGTGATGATAGTGAAAAGCAGTAAGATTTGGAATATGTCTTAAGGTAGAGTCAACAGAATTTGCTGGCAGATAGTAGTATGGGTGTGAGGGGAAAAAAGAGCAAGGGAGAACAGGAAATAGAGCCCACTGGGGAAACATAATAGGATTGCTCAGCAGTACAGAAGGGCATTTTGATGTAAGAGATCAAGAATTGAAAATGAAGTCATGCAGCCTGGTTGAGTGGTTTCTCCAACAACCTCTAGTTGCTCCAGTGCAGGCAGAATAAATAGTATGATTTATCCAGAGTGGAACCAATGGAGTAATACTATACTGATGGATCATGGGATACAGTCAAGTGGGAAGTGAAGCTTGTAGAGGACTTATGAATAGTGATACATTGGCCATGTAGACACTTAAGCAAATGGGCTGGAAGAAAAGAGGGTTAAAATTGAAATTTCACATGTACTGTAGTTTAATAACATTTCTGATGACAGGATGGTGAAGCAGAAGAAGAATAAGGTCTTTAGAGATGGAGAGGTCAAGGAAACTGAGCAGCCAGAATGTTGAAGTCATCCAGAGTGACGACAGAGCTAGCTGTAAAGTAGGGAAGCTTGTGAGTCAGTGACTGAAGTCTTAATAAATGAGGACAGTAGAGGATGGTATAACCCAGTAGTGGCAAATCTATGGCATATGGGTTGTTTTTCTTTTAAGACAAGAGTTAGAGTTTTTTCTAAACTAAAACCTCAGTATTCAGATTTAATTGCAGCATTGGCACTTTGTGAAAAATAACTGGGTTTTGGGTTGCAGTTTGGGCACTCATCTCTAAAACTTTCACCATCCCTGCTGTAGCCAGATGGCAGGCATTTCGAAGAGGAGAGTTTTCACAACCAGGTATGGGAATAGTGGTCAGGAGGCAGCAAGGGGAGCAAAGAAGACATTAACTTCACCTCCTTACACTGGCTTAGGAGAAAAATAGCCTGTACTTCAGAGGGCAGGCTTGAAAGCAATGTGCTCATAGGAGAGCCAATCTTCGATTTAAGCAAAGAGTGAAGAAGACTTCCAGAAAAGATATTGAGGACATGGGGGAATTTGCTGATCACAGAGCTGGAATCTGGAGTAGGGAACCTGTTTTCCAGGTTCTTACTGTCCTGTTTGGTGAGTTGGTCAGGACAGTTGGTGAATGTAAACGATTGCTGTTTATTTGAGGGCAGAAATAAGAAAAGAAAAAGAAGCACAAAAAAGAGTAAAGGGTGCTTTGAAAGAAAAAGAAGATGCATCCTACAAGCAGAACAGACCACTGCAAGAACAAGAGGGCAGTAGAACGAAGTCCATTTCTGCCATCTTTATATAGCTTGATAGTTGATCCAGGTGCTCTCACTTGATCTCATGCTAGAAGACTGGCTTCAGGTGCTAGCCTCAGCTTGCTCTCGAGTCAGGCTCAGGAGCTGCTGCTCTGTGCCCGAGGTTATTAAGTCTCTTCAGTTGGCCGGTTGTACCCAACTGCTCCAGTCATATTGCCTGCCCTAGTCTCCTACCTCACTGAGAGCCTAGTAAAAGAATGGTAGGGGTGAGGATTAGACCTTAAAGACTTGGATTCCTGAGAGTGCCTGGAATTTAAGCAGGACTGCAAGATAAAGAGAGAGTAATTCTGCCATCTTGGGGATGAGATTGGGCAGCCAGACCTGTTCCTGTGATCCAAAGGATTTGCCTCAGGATACCACAGCTTGGTACCCTTGATGCTGAAAGGTGCTTTCCTAAGGCTTCATATGTTGTAAAAGGTTGAGTCATAAAGGTTTGGAATAACCACTGTGGTACATGGGAGAGGGGGTGGATCAAGGATATAAGGAAATGAGCAGCTCCGAAGATAGCAGAGGCTAAAATTTGTGGTGATGACCAGGGATTTAGCTCAGTGGTTTCACCGCCTGCTGCACAAGCGCAAGGACCCAAGTTTGATCCCTGGTACCAAAAAAAAAAAAATTTTGTGGTAATACCAGTTGTGTAGTTCTTTTCATCAGTGCTTCTGCCTTTCTTGTATAGGAGTTGAAAAGGAATTCAGAACTGATTCAAGGTTGATAATTTACAGAGATGGTGTAGCAGAACCTAGAACTAGATCAAGCATAGTATCTGGCCCTTTGTTTACCCACAGTGTTCTGAAGTGTTCAGCCAAGCCTGCTCTACTTTGTACAGCTCTTCAGACTCTCTGGGCCTCTTATCCACCACTTGTTCTGTTACATTTTGGGCCTGCCTTGGGATTTACAATTAAACTTGCTCAGCATAGTTTGAGATTTATTGTGATTTCACTCTACTTTTTTTTCCATCTGAACAGATACATCTTTGGATGCTTCAGGTAAGGGCTCTTCTGACTGGACTTGACTCCTGGGACCTCCTTACCAGGAAGTACCTTCTTCAGCCAATCCCTCAATAGATTTTTCAGGGCCTTGGAAGATAGGTTTCATCATGGCGTTCTGTAGGAAAGGCACTTGGAATGTCAACCACTTACTGCAAGCAGAACTTAAGATATGGCAGGGAGGATTAGGCAACAATATATTTTGAAAATTTACAAGATGTTTTTGTGACACTTTGGTAGCTTTGTCCCATGTCATTTTTTCCCCAAACCCTAAGAGGTAGGCATTCCTATTTCCTACAAATGAGAAACCTTATCTGTTAAAGAGCTAATCAACTTGCTTGATATTATACATAGCTAGTAAGTTATGGGATCCTTATTTCTAAGCCAACTTGCTAATTCAAAAATCCAGGAATTTGGGCTGAAGATTTAGCTCAGTGGCACTGCACCTGCCTCGCAAACATAAGGTCCTGAGTTTGATCCCCAGTACCACCAAAAAAAAAAAAAAAAAAAAATACAGGAATTTGCCAGTATGCCATATTATCTTGCAGATAGTAGAATCCTAGGAGTTAAAGCTACAAGGATAGGTTGGGCCTTATATCACATCAACCTAAAATGTTCTGCTGAAGATATAGTTTCCTAATCTCTCTGTCTCCTTAGAATCTCACCTCCATCAAAAATAGAACGTTAATAGCCCGTCATGGTGGTACACACCTGTAATCCCAGCACCCTGGGAAGCTGAGACAGAAGAATAACGTGTTAGAGCCCAGCCTGGGCAATTTAATGGCTTAATGAGAATTTGGCTCAAAATTAAATTTAAATTTAAATGAAGGGCTGGGGGTGTGGCTCAGTTTCAAGGCATTGGGTTCAATCCTCAATACTGCAAAAATAAGTACCAGAAGTTTGAGTCCCACCTAATGTTTTGTTGCTACAGAGCCAGATTAGTAGGGTGAATGAGCTTGACTCCGTTTTCTTAGTTCCTCAAAAGCATACCATTCAGTGAGCACATTGATGGGACTGCGGCACTGAGGACAAACTCTCTTCCACTTGCTGAAGTTGTTAAAAATTAATGGGAGAAAATAAGAACCAAGATACTTCGTGTACAGGTACAAATTCCTTATGATGAATGTGATCATTATATGTACCAATAATCTTACTTAAAAAAATTAATGGGAGAATTAGGACTGGTAAAATAGCTATAATACAATGATGTACAAACATGTAAATACTGTAAGGGAAAGGCTAATCCTGGGCAAGCCAGAAGTTTTATGTAATTGAAAGATGATTCAGTAAGCTACAGGCTCAAGAAAAGAACTAAGTCCAAGATTCAGGGAGCTTTCTGTGATCTAGTGGGTCAAGAACCTGGTCAAAAAAGGCAAAGTACCCCGGAATAAGAGTCATGGTGGAAGGGGTGAGCTAAATAAAAGCAATGGGGTCAAAATAAAAACAAGTTTAACTATTTTGAGAATCCCTCACAGGTGGGCGTAGTCTCACATGAACAAGGGAGAGCAGTATTCTGCACTGGCGTGATGGCCTGGGTAAGAAGGAAAAGCATCATGAACCCCAGACAAGAGCTTGTGTTAGCTGGTCATGGTAGCACATGCCTGTAATCTTAGTACTTTGGGAAGCTGAGGCAGGAGATTCCAAGTTTGAGTCAAGCCTGGGCAACTTAGTGTCCTAGTAAGACCCAGTCTCAAAATACAAATAAGAAAAGGGGCTGGGGGTCAGTGGGACGGCCCTGAGTTCAATCCTTAAAAAGGAAGAAAGAAGTTGAAAAGAAAAAAAAAAGAGATTGTGATGGTTGAAGTAGGTGGGCAGTGGGAGGCAGATAACAGACTGACAGCTATGCATTAGTGGTAGCATCGAAATATGTGCACATGGACCCCACACAACATTTCTCTTCCATAAGAGCCACTCCAAGAATGCAGAGAGAACTGTCCCCTGGGGAGAACTAGGGTAGAGAACCCAGGTCGAAAAAAACCTTTTCTTGTGGAAAGGCAAATTCACCATGTCCTGTTTCCTACCACAAAGGGCAATTGCAATGAGGAGTTAAGAGACGGTCCCCAAAATGTACCAGGGGGATTTATTTTTCTATGAAGGGATATAAGCCACTGTCAAGTCTCCTTGTGGAAAAGGACAAGTTCTACTGATCATGAAACAAATAACTAATCTTCATACATCTGTAGGGTCATCCCTAGATTCTAAAAATAGATTGATTTTATTTGGCCTCTTGATATATACAACACAGCATTTTTATATGAGAGCCTTGAGACACCAGATAAGGCAACTGCCAATCTATTTATGTGAGGCATTTTTACTTTAGTAGAATAGTATGGAATTATCTCTTTTTTGGGAGGGTGGGTACCAGGCATCAAACTCAGGCCCTTGCGCTTTCGAGGCAGACAGCAGAACCAGAGCTAAATCCCTGGCCCTCGGAATTATTTCATTTTTAAAACACAGACATGCCACCAACAACTAAATTCATCAAAGCCTTGTGTTTCTGCTCCTCCACCTAAATACACCCAGATCCTATTTTGAGGAACATATGTGACATGCCATGTGCCGAAAGTGGACAAGCTTCCTTGCTGCTAGAAGATAACGCCAACACGGGGCCCTTTTACTGAAAACTCCTTTATCTCTCTCAGCCAACTGTGTGTCATGCAGAAGTGAGACAGCTAGAGACTCTTAGAGAAAGGCAGTAAATATTTTTTTGGGGGGGGTACTGGGGATCGAACTCGGGTCCTTGGGCTTGCGTAGCAGGCAGCGAAATCACTAAGCTAAATCCCCAGCCCAGTAAATATTATTTTTATGACATTTATTTTAAATATTATGAAATATTATTAGTAAATATTTGGGGCTGGGGATTTAGCTCAGTGGCACTGCGCCTGCCTTGCAAGCGCAAGGTCCTGAGTTCAATCCCCAGTACCAAAAAAAAAAAAAAAGATCAGTATTAGTAAATATTTATTGCCTTAACACATGAGATGACGTTCCATGTGTTAACATGTTCCATTCTATGGGCTGGGGATTTAGCTCAGTGGTTTCGCCGCCTGCTGCACAAGTGCAAGGACCTGAGTTCGATCCCCGGTAACAAAAAAAAAAACAAAAACATGTTCCATTCTAGTGATATCTTCTAAAGTTAATGAGGGGCAGGGGATTTAGCTCAGTGGTTCCGCCACCTGCTTCGCAAGTGCAAGGACCCAAGTTCGATCCCCAGTACCAAAATAAATAAATAAATAAAGTTAATGAGGCTTCAATGACTTAACATCAAAAATGACATGGGACAAAGCAACCAAAGTGTCACAATGATATCTTCTGCAGAACAGATGGTAAAGAAACCTTTCTGTGGCAGTTAAACATAATTGCACCAACATAAATGCACCAACAACTTTAAATCCTACTTCCGTTAATTTTCTCTAATAAAAATGCCAAGATATATGCATAAGAATGTTCATTGTAATATACATAGTTTTAAATAGTACAAAAAAATGTTAGCTAATGTGGGAACAATATTATCACACAACTATTTAAACACTTCTTGTTAAGGAATGTGCCACATGTCTGTGATCTCAGCACTCAGAGGAGTCTGAGGTAGGATCGTTGTGAGTTTGTGGTTTTTGTTTTTTTTTTGGTACCAGGGATCGAACTTGGGACCTTGCACTTTCAAGGCAGGCACCAGAACCACTGAGCTAAATCCCCAGCCCAGGATCGTTGTGAGTTTGAAGCCAGCCTGGGGTACATAGTGAGTTCCAGGCCAACCGGCATTACAAAGTGAGACTCTGTCTCGAAAAAAAAAAAAAGTGACATTTCTGAAAAATATTTAATGGTACAGTGAAATGCTTATTTAAAAAGCAAAATGCAGGATTTAAAATTATATGTAGTATTACCCCCATTTTGTTGCTGTCGTTTTTTGGGAGAGGGTCTCATTCTGTAACTCAGGTTGGCCTTGAACTCACAGCAGTCCTCCTGCTTGAGCCTCCCAAGTGCTGGGATTACAGGCGTGCACAACTATGCCCAGCTCCTAGTTTTGAAAAAAACATTTAACACATTTACATGCATAGAATTAGTCATCATACCAACTGATCTTTATGTGAAAGAATTAAAATTGATTTTTTTTCTTTATATTTTTACATGATTTCCAGTTTCTCATTTTACCTTTTGTTGTTGTTTTTTTGGGGATCGAACTCAAGACCTTGTGCTTGCGAGGCAGGCACAGTGCCACTGAGCTATATCCCCAGCCCTTCTCATTTTATATATAGGATAATTTTTTTTTTTAAGAGCCAGAGGTTAAGAGAACCACTTTCTTTTTTTGGGTAGTGCTTAATATTGAACCCTTGGCCTCATGCATACTAAGCACGCATGTCTACTACCACTGAGCTATGCTCCTAACCCCAAGAACTATTCCATTTGAAATACCCATCACATGCCGACTCTGAGCTGGGAGAATTTACCATTTAATCCCCACAGCAAGTGAGATGTAGGTATCTCAGTCCCTATTCTGCAGTTGAGGAACTGAGGCTCCACTATTTAACCAACTTGCCCAGGGTGCCTGGATTTAAGCCCAGACAATGCCCAGGCTTCCTGCTGTACCACCTGCCTCAGCTGCCATGGCTCCTGGTGGGCCCTTGGGAGGCTTACAGCAAAGGTCACTGATGAAACAGAGTTGTGTGCAGCTTGCCCAAGAGCAAGGCCTTATTTTGCTTTCTAAATTCATTTCTCCCTCCAAAAGGAGCAAACTTTCTCATCTAGGGTGGGAAGCAGCCTTCTTCCTTAAGGCTGAAGGTTCCATACTGAAGCAGTTTTGCTGCACATGCCCAGGTCCACATGTCTGTGCCCCCTCAGAGCCCATCTCCTCATGGCCGTGTATCAGCTGTCCTGCTTATTGGTCTGGCATTTAGTCAGGCTTTGACAGAAGGACAGGGCAGAACTGAACACCCCCAGCCTTTCCAGCCAGCTGGCTCCTTGGTCTTTTCCCTGGATACTAAAACAAACAGGCTGTGTGCTCTGGCTCCCTACTCAAACCAATGGGGGTGGGGGGCGGCAAAAATATCCCAGCTATGTGAACAATCAGAGTATCTGGCAGCACATTTGATCTTTTGTAACTTTATTTCAGCCAAATAGTGCCTCTAGGCAGCCAGGAGCACACCCTAAACCTTAATGTTTAGCTGGGTTCCTGGTATGGCCTTGTGAGGAATACCCAGCCCCCAACCTGGCTCTGTTCCAGACGGGACCCCAGTGACACTAACTGTAGCCCTCATGAAAGAGGCAGAGGTGGAATTTTTCACCACTGTTCCCAGGCCTCTTCATTTCCTGTTCCTTTCCAGAGGCAGAGACAGGAAGTTACTTGGATGGGGGTCACAACAAGTCAGTGATATTCAAGACTGGAATGTGCCACTATTTCATCCTCCAGCACCATATTCATAAGTTAAAAACCAGGCTAGGCATGGCACCACATGCCTGTAATCTCAGCACTTGGGAAGCTGAGGCAGGAGGGTCACCTTGAGTTTGAGGCCAGCCTGGGTTACATAGTGAGTTCAAGGCCAGCATGAACTACATAGTCACTGTCTCAAAAAAAAAAAAATTTAAAAAGTTTAAAACTAGAACTAGCTAGGGAGTTTTATCTGGGAAGAGAAAGAAGAGATGGGGAATGGTACATGACACACAAAGTAACAGTGGGAATAACCTGGTCCTTTTTAATTTATTCTTTCTACGCCCACATAGGATTACTGGTTCAGAAAAGTTTGAGAAATACTAGCTTAAATACAGTTAAACAGGTTATATTACTGAAGGACTTCTGAGAACTGTTAGTGCACTCATGCAGCACATTCTGAAGAGTTTAGAATGAAAAGTGTTCTTTTTAAACACAGCCAATTGTACCAGGACTGCAGTGAACAAGCTTTGAGAAGTGCTGTTTCAGGGTGAGCCCATAGGATCCTGTAAAGATAAGGGCCATACCTGTAATCCTAGCACTTAGGGAGGGTGAGGCAGGAGGATCACAAATTCAAGTCCTACTTGGGCAATTTATGAGACCCTATCTCAAAAAATAAAAGGGCTGGGGATGAAGCTCAGTGGTGGAGTGCCTAGCACTCAAAAATAAAATTAAATAAATAAGAAAAGATAGGTAATGGGCCGGGGATTTAGCTCAGTGGTTTCGCAGCCTGCTGCGCAAGCGCAAGGACCTGAGTTCCATCCCCGGTACCAAAAAAAAAAAAAAGAAAAGAAAAGATAGGTAAGGCCCCAAACCATCACTACTAGTCACAAGCCACAATCTTCAAAACTGCAGCGCTGTAACAAGGCTGTCATTCTGTAGCCTCCTGCCTGTACTTCAGTACGGGTTTATAGTATTCTTCCACTTGCTGGTCAAAGCTCCTGGAAGAGAACCCTGCCTGGAAAAAGTTCACTGGAGTCAGAAGGTATTTTAATGCCAGGTCTCTGGACTCAGTACCTAGAAAAGGAGCAGCACTGCCTCTATGAAACAGAGGAGAATCATGGTCTATCCAGGCACTTTGGTTCTCCATGGCTGCTGGGCCATTATTGTCTCCCCTAGGTATTAAGGGGGGCCCTAAGTCCTCCCTGGTTTCTAGAGAGAGAAACTCCTCATCTGAAAATCCCAAAGGGACAGTCAACACAGTCACCATCTTCTGGGACTCACAGAAAGGGACTTCCTCGCCCCATTCTTTGCTGCAGAGATCTGGGAACAATTGTTTCTTGACCCTCAAAGGATGTGAGGAGGGCTGCTTCTCAAGGTCCTCAGGAGAGGGAGAAAGGTTTTCTTTCTTGGTCTTCTTTGAGTCTCTATCAGCTTGAGATTTATCAGCATTTTCCTGAGGAGATTCAAACACAACACCTTGGATTCTTGGCCTCTTTAACCTCTTTTTTAACAGCCAGAGAAACTCTGGTTTGTTAGAGGAGGAACTCATGTACTGCTGCACAGAGTCTGGAATCAGGGGCATGGAGAGCATGGGGCTCAGGCTGTCCTGAAAGTAGTTCCCACAGGGCTGTCGACTGACAATGGGCACCACCTGGCAAGGCTTCAGGGCTGCAACAAAGGCACAGAGCTCAGAGTAGGAGGAATGGTCAGAGTAAGGGATTATGTGGATGTCAGGGTGGGATCTGTGGATTTTCCGGCTTGTGGGAAGGACAGCAATGGTAGGGTGAGTCTGGTTCCAATGCAGCATGGCAGAACGGCAGATCTCCATGTGTTCCACAGCATGGATGCGGCCAGCCTTCTCTTCCACTGTGAACACATCTGCCAGGCCCAGCAGCTGTACCAACTCCAGGCGCTGATGACTCAATACCACCCAGGTCCGAAACTCCAGGGCCAGCTGCTCCAGCAATGATTCCTTTCCCAGGCTATAGAGCCCTGAATAATGTTACAGGGATCAGGGAAAGTAAAAGAAGAGAATGAGGATATCGAAGAATCCTAACAAAACAAATGTTTAACAAAAACTACAGAACTCATGGGTCAATCCAGGGAGTATCAGGGAAGATATGGAGATATATGGAGGATAAAGAGCAGTGACACACAAATCTGCTCATTCATTCAGTTCAACAAAAGAAAGCATCTACCAAGTATTAGGCACCATGAAGATGAATAAACAATAAAAAAGACTCAGCCCTCAGCAATGCCATCTACTGTATTTCCCAGAAAATGAGACCTACCCAGAAAACAAGCCCCAGTATGAATTTTCAGGATATTCATAATATTAGCCCTGCCCCCCAAATAAGACCCAGTTATGATCATCAGCCAGAAAGACACATTTAATATGTCCATGGCAACACATAATGGAC